GGTGCAAATTTCGCTACCAAAAACTTCCGAAAACGTCCAGAAACCAGACTACATGGCTCAGGCTCATAGCCATCACCAGAATTACATGTGAACCTCAATGTTAAGAAACCTACCGAATCACACTTGAGGTCGAAAGCGCATTCGCATATACTGAGATGTCGAAGTTCGTTTTTGTGCAAATCTGGCCATCGAAACACGCGAGCATAGACGACATGAGGAAAACCCTTACGGCCTGCTACCTGAAATCAATACAAGTGTTGTAAAAAGAATTAAAAACGAACGGAATATGGCAATGAAAAAGCAAACGAAGAAAGCTCCACCAACAACAGTGTTTATACAATGCTAGTTTGACTCGCTTTTATGTTCGTCTGTCAAATGCTTCAGTAAAGCAGCGAATTCCCCCGAAAAGCTGGGGACGGCGCAGGTCGACTTGGTGGGGTACCAAATGGTACTGAGCGCGTCATGAACAGGCCACCTTACGAAGACCTGCAAATTCCTGTAACCAAGGGCACACTTGTACCATTCTGCAGGTTCCCAAGAACTTAACTATCAAAAGAGGACCGTTAGTGAAATGAACTAGCAAAAGGGAAAAAGCCGAAAACTCCCCCTAGCTGGGAGGGCGCCCCCTGGGCCTCCGAATACGATGAGCAGTCGAAGGAGACCATTTCAATAAGATCATCTATGAACGTCGCAAGGCAAGCAAAAACTGACACAAATTACAGCTGGTTCCACGACTCGAGGATATACTTGAGGTATACTCTAGTTCGCTGCGGACGGTTGGGCGTGTCAGGCAGTATGAGTGTGTCACGCCGTCAAAGCCGTTCTCTGCCTTCTTGTTGAAGCGCGCATGCGACAAAAAGTGGTAGAAAACGAGTAATACGAACGATGATACAGTCATATCACTTGCTCGCTTCAACAACTGGTGGAGAACGGGTTTGGCACCGCGCCAAACTCATCCCGCCTGACACGCCCAACCGTCCGCAGCGAACATACAGTGCGTAACAAAAGTATGTGGACACCTCAAATTTTTGTCCTGCAAAATTGCCTTTGAATTTTGCGATATGAGACCTTTATTGTTGAATTCCTCATAAGCGAAAACATAGGAATACACTACTTCTGAACACTTTGTGGACTACTGAACAATTATTTATTGTTTTGAAAAAGTTTCTTAATAACAAAAGTATGTGGACACTTAACAAAAAACAAATGTATCGTGGAAAATAGAAGTTGGTTCTTCCTCCAGTGTTCACTATTACTTCGAACATTCTGTCTGGCATGCTGTGGACAAGATTTGTCATGGTGTCTTCGTCGATTTCCTCCCATGCAGCAACTATTGCCTCCTTCAAGTCTCGCACGCTGTTGTACTGCCGACTGTTCATGTAGATTCGTCGAACCATGATTCCCCACAGGATTTCGGTTGGGTTGCAGTCAGGAGAACACGCCGGCCAATCAATCACTTTGATACCATTGCGTTGGAGCC